AAGCTCTTTTGGGAGGTGCCTCATTCAAAGCACTTCACTGGAGTCCGTGTTGCCAACGAACATGGTCTTCCCACATCTGCTTCTTCCATTAAGGAGAAGTCTCGTTGGGTTGGTGGAACTAAGGGGGCTTTCTGAGAAAGCAGACCTAAACGTTGTGGAAATAGTAAGAGGAGATGCAAGGTATAGCAAAAATGTTGGAGTCTTAAGCATCTGGACTAGATGGGCCCTTGGCCTGATCCAGCTGTAGAGCTCTTCTTATGTTGTATCATAGTAAATGATGGAAGCATCTTTTCTCAGTTTATTGGGGTTTTTTTTAACTACTCAACCATTTCCACATAAGCAAGGAAACTCTACTTTTCTTGACTAGTTTGGGCACAAGGCCACCTGTCCTTCCAAGAGAAAATCAGTATGTTCCTCTCGTCCTGGAGCATGGACCTTTTCCCAGAGTGCTTTAGATCCTGGATGCCATCTTTTGCTATCATCATAACTCTGTGAAGAAGTGACCGTCTCAACGTACCCCACAATTCCCACAAGAAATCAAATATAATCCTATTTAAGAAGCTTTAAATAATTTTGAGCTGACATATTGACTTCTTCAAATGCAGCTTAAAATGCGCTTGGCTTGCAATCCTTTTACAAGAACGGGAGATACACACACACACATACAACCTGATTAAAAAGATCAGTTGGAAAAGAAGGAAAAAAGACATTTGGTATGAAATCTACCAAGTACCCCGCCACTTAAAACAAACGAACAAAACACCCCTCCCCAAGCTTAGCATGTTGTGAGAATGCAGCTGGGACTCTGAAAAGTTGTAATCATCATCTTCATCTTCATCTTCATCATCATCATCCTTCCAGAAGCTCAAGGTGACTTAGCTTCAGAGCCTCCATCCTCTCTTTACAACAGTAGCACTTTGGGGCAATGTGAGCTAAGAAGGAATGATGAGATAAAAGTCACCCGTTGGCTGTGTTAATACAACACATTCACCCAGGTTGGGTCATCACTTGGGTGATGACGCCATTTGCAGAAATGATAAATATTGTTCAGGCCATAGGTGTCTGGTGGAAACAGTACAGAGTAAGGTTGACGTTAATGGAGGTATCTAGGAACCATTCCTTTTAAAGCATTTTTAAAATCCAGAACATCCAGATAATTTTTGGAAGCCGCTCAGAGAGACACCTCCCTAATTCACAGGAGTATAAGAAGGGGAGGAGGTCCAGCACAATCAGAATTAAAAGATGCTGTTATTGTAGCCAGTCTCAATCAAAGTAGTTTTTGCCTTCCTGTGGAGTGGATTTCATGGTCTGATCTACCGAGTGGGGCTGATAAGAACCATGTTCATGACATGTTTGTCTTGATGTAGGTTTGACCTTTAATTAGCGAAATCTGGAACTCCATTTTCTTACTAATATATTCTTTGACCAAGTCGCCTCTGTTTCTTCTATTAATCTCCATGTAGATGTTGACTATTTATGGACATCCACAGGGGAGCTAAAAAAAAGGGTGGGACTTTGATCCCGTGGTCATGGCCCCCACCTTGACGTTTTAGACCTCCAACCTATGGACACTTCTGCTAGTCTCTGCTAGGCTTGGCTCACACCAATTTGGTCTCTGCTACAGCTACAAAACTCAACTCTTTGCACATCTTTCTCTCTTTCAATGACTGCACAGTTTACACAGGTTTTCCTATTCCCTATTTTCCTACTTCTTCAGTTTACAGCTCTTCAGCTAATAAATTATAATGATAAAGGATAACACCTAGCTAGATGGTGGAACTCACCCCCACTAGATGGAGCTGTGGGACCCTCTCCCATCTCAGGTGACCTTCAAAGGGGGTTAGTCAGGGTGGGATCTGGCTATCCAAGATGCTCCCATTTGCTTTGGGGACCAGCCTGTTCCTCTTTGCAACCTCATCTTCCCTTGCTAAATGCATCAGAAAGACCCCCCACCCCCTGCTTTTGAGGATGGAAAACCTTCTCCTTTGCCTTTGCAAGGTCTTGTTCAGCTGGCAGAGTATTCCCCTTCATTACACCGGCGTCTCAGACTGTAAACCTTCTTAATTTCCAACATCGCCGCTATTTATTTAAATGCTAACTCACATTATGAAGTGATAATCCGCCAGCGCAAGAGATAATTTATGAAGCATTTAAATTAAGAGAAGCAGTTAATTGGTGGCATGTGTCTTGTAAGCCTTGCTAACACCAGAAAACTAAAATAAGGCAGGAAAATGGAAGGTGAAAAGATATTCATCTCCCATTTCTCTCCCTAATGGATTTGTGCGTGTGTCCGTCTCACTAGTTGTGATCCGAAGCCTGGCTTTCATGCTACGCACTGAACCTCAAGACTGAATTTCCAATTTTATGGGTTCGTGCTGTACGGTGAAATGTAGGGCGCCACACTGGAGAAGATTTATTCAGACGAGCGTGCAAAGAAAGGAAGTGTTATCAGAAATGAATACACCATCAAGGGAGCAAAATTACCCCGTTCCCCGAGATCATTTTTATCTTGAACATCGGGGATTCTGGTAGGCTTCTTCCAACCCCACTAGGTAGACCAGGCCAGGAAATCCATTCCACAGGAAGGCTAAAACTACTTTGACTGAGGTTGGTTACAATAACAGAATCATGCAAGTCTGATTGTGCTGGACCTTCTCTCCCCTTCCTATACCCATGTGAATTAGGGAGATGTCTATCTGAGTCACTTCTGAATGTTGTCTTGTTGCTCTGGACTTAAAAAATGTTTCAGCCTCTTTGGCCTAGGGAACAGTTCCTGCATATCTCCTCCAAGGTCATCTTCCTGACTCTCTACAGCTTCTCACAACATGCTAGCCTAGGCTTAAGTATGGAGGGGTAGTTTGTGGGCTGACATCTTGTGAAAATGGCCATTTGTCTAAGGGATTAGATGTTCCTTGGTCCAGAACCCCCAGGCCATATGCAACCCCCAGCATTCTTTTGGCCCCTCTTAGAAGAAAAAATGTAGACTTAAAATGTTGTCCTATTCTGCCATAGGAGATTCTCCCAATGGGCCAGTAACTTCAACCTTTCCAGCCCTGAGTTTCTGCCTATTATTTTGGACTCTCTGTGAGCCAAAACAAAACCACAGCCACTGAGGGAAGCCATAAACCACATTTCTGTTCCATTCAGCAAACCTGGTGGAGATATTTCTTTCCCAACCAGCTAGCAAAGTGGGAACCAGGAGAGCTTTAGTGGAGAAGCAATGTTTCCTTGGCTCTCCTGAAGCAGTGGACAATCTCTGGTCAGAGTGTTGCAAATAATAAGGCAGTTATGAAGAACAGGGAAATGGGCAAAAGAGGAGTGATACCAGGGACTTTTTGAGTCTGTGTGAAAATCTGGAGAACACGATTCCTGATCTTTGCTAAGAGCTGCTAATGTTATGCTCCAAGGGGGCCATTTTTGGATGGGTCAGTATTTTGTTTCAACTCATTTTATTAGGAACCAGAGTTCTTCCTCATCATGACTGAGCTAACGACCCCTTTGCAAGTGTTTCATAATTTGATAAACTAGAACAGGGGTGGAAGGGGCAGGTGGATGAGAGATAAATGACACGTTCATCAGTTAGAGAAATCAAAAGAGCGTGCACAAGAAGCTGAGGGATCCTTGCATTTGGGACGTCCTTTTCACGGATTTGCCCTTTTTGTGCAAACCTTTCCTTTCTTGGACTGGGCTTGTTCTTTCATTCAAAGCCAGGCAACCTGCATTACAAAATTCAGAGGCGGCGCAGATGTGAAAAGGAACCAAATTTTGGTTCAAGGAGCAGCTGGTTAATGGGAAGTAGAATGAGTTTACATTCAGGTGGGAACTCAGTAGATTTCTCTCAAGGCTTGCGAAGATACGATCTAGGATTCGCAGAAATGGCCTCTGCCAGTGTCAGCAGTAGGGCAGACCTTTGGGATATCAGCTTGTCTCAAGGAAGCTTCAAAAATGCAGTGCTCCGCATTAAGTCATCCCATCCCATGGAGGAACTGATTCGAACCGGAGGATAAGAAGCCCAAACTAAATCAGGTGGAAATCGAACCGGTTCAGACCCTCAAACAGATCTGGATGCTTCACTCCTACGACCGGGATCGATCTCATTTTCCCCACCGAATGGATGTGATGAACCGGATCAGGCCTGGTTCTCAGAGCGCCAGTAAACCACTGGGCATCGGCTTGATAGCTTCCAACGTGCGGATGACGTTCCTGAAGTCGAGAGATGAAGGGCTTTGGAGTCTGAAAAATATCTCCAGCAGCGTTCCGGTTTAATAAGGCATCTGTGTTTGTTTTCCAATGAACGAACGTCTCCACCATTTGGGGGTCAGTGTGCAAACAGATCCCCCATTTGGTATAAAAGCAAAGAAATAAGAGGTCCTTAAAACACAGCTGACCTACTATTTATTCCTCCTCTCTCCCCCCCCCGTAATAAAAACACAGTCGCCAGCTACTTTTTTAAACCTTTCCGCTTCTCCTATTTCCACAGCCTTTCTTCAGCTGCGAGTCCCCCTTGCTCCCTTGCTTTGATCTATTAGTTTTCTGCAGAAATGGGGTTTATAAATCATTCTAATGCGCCCCCGGGAAAGACGGTGCTTAGTGTCGGGAGATATACATTGCAGCTAACAGCCTCAGCTCGGAGGAAAAACCCCTTCCCGGAGCAGTGGGGGGCTTGGCGACAGGTTATGGATAGGGTTTGAGGCTGGGGTGTGTTTTTTTAATGTCTGGCTGCGCACCGCTGGGGCCGAGGCCAGGGGGAGCGTCCCTGGGACCCCTTTGTAATATTTCAACGCTTCCTTTCTGCTAGCGAGAGGCAAACAGCTCTTGGCTAGCCGGGCAGCTGGTGGAGGAAGAGGACCTGGGATGTCACGGCCCAGAAGGCAAAGCTAGGGGCAATTCGTGGGCTGTGGGTCTTTGGAGAAATGTACAGCAATGTTTTTCTTCCTTTGGTTAAGGAAGGTTTGAGCAAAAAATAAGGAAACTCATCAATTGGCTTCTGCTACTACTACTTCTTCCTTCTCCTCCTCTTCCACCATCACCACTGCATTCTTCTTCTCCTCTTTCTCCAACATCATTGCCGCCTCCTCCTCCTCCTCCTCCTCCTCCTCCTCCTCCTCCTCCTCTTCCTCTTCCTCCTCTTCCACCATCACCACTGCAGTCTTCTTCTCCTCTTCCTCCACCATCATTGCTTTCTCCTCCTCCTCTTCCTCCTCCTCCTTCTCTTCCTCTTCCTCCTCCTCCTCCTCTTCCACCATCACTACTGCAGTCTTCTTTTCCTCTTTTTCCACCATCATTGCTTTCTCCTCCTCCTCCTCTTCTTCCTCCTCCTCCTCTTCCTCCTCTTCCATCATCACCACTGCAGTCTTCTTCTCCTCTTTCTCCACCATCACTGCTTCCTCCTCCTCCTCCTCCATCATCATCATCATCATCATCATCATCATCTTCATCAACATCATCATCCCATCTCCTCCTCCTTATCCTCCTCCTTTCCTTTGCTTGTCCACTCTGTTTGAACTAATGGTTTATTTATGGTTCAGTCAATCAGAAGATGGATTAATTCCATAATCAGCAAAGGGTGAACATAGCCATTGATGGCTGGTTCAAGCAAACATGTCTCAACCTGAACTTGGATGAGTCTTACGTGGTTTTCTGTTCTGTGTTTCAAGTTTACATAAAAGAAAATGTGCACAATCTAATCATAATGAAAGTTCATCCCCTCCAGCTCAACATTTCCAGTTTTCAAAGTATAGGGCTGCTAGTTACAAAACTAAAGATTAATATAACAACACTAAATGATGTGTCTGGCCCAAGATTTTCTATGTCAGAGCTTGGCAGCAGGGTGCAGGACTCAAAATGGCACCCCCGGCTTCCCAGAGTAAGAATTAGATTAAAATAATTAAACACAGCAGCAAGCAATCCAATACTTTTTTTAAAGGACCAACATCTTGGGAGATTTCCTGAGAAAACGCTAAAATCTCAGGTGAGCAATCCTTTCTTGTGAGAGGTCAGAGGTAGAATGAGGATCCAGCTAAACGCCAGGACTGAAAAGTCAGCTAGGAGGCAGATTGTGCAACAAAACTGGACCAAAATACAAGAAGACTTGACAAAGTTCAGGTGGATTTCACCGTCAACCGCAGAAGGAATCTGTTACTTTGCAGAAACAGTGAAAGATCTGTCATAGTCCATAATGTTTTTTTTTTTCACAGAGAAACCTCCAAGGAAGAGTTGGATGGTCCAGAGAGGACATCCTATGGACCTTACAATTGCTCTGTGGCAGACAGATTGAGCAGAAGAGATGGTGTTTGGGATCGGGTTCAACTGGAACGAGAGCATACTTATGAAGAATGGATTTCCCATCTAATTTCTATCGCAAGAGATCTCCCACATTGTCTATGGATGACGGGAGTTGTTGTAGCCTGTTCCATCTACTACAAGGACCGCACCAGCAAAAGCTGGGTTTCACCTCCAGCTTCACGAAAGGGTTTGAAGAAACCCTCTTTTTTATCCTTTGCGTCTTGAATAAATGAAGAAGCTGGCAGGGATGGACAGATCGGTCTGTTTCAAAGCTAGGCCAGTTTCACAGGTTAGCTTCAAAATGTCTCTGTCAGAGGTTTATCCTTTCCTTCAGGAGCGGAAGGCAGCTTACAAGGGGGTCCCCCTTCATTTTATCCCCACCACAACAACCCTGTGAGGTTGATCGGGCTGAGAGGGGATGATTGGCCCATAGTCAGAATCCAGTAGGGCTTTTTGGCTCAGGGAGCGTTGATACTTGGGTTTTTCCATTCTCAGTCCAGCAGAAATGGAACCACACTGTCCACATGGATTCCTTTATAACTCTTCCCACCCTGTTTCCATGTTAATCCGATGATGAGGATGACGACATCAGCAGAAAGGTTTGGGTGTGAACGTGCAATTTGGAACGAATGTCTTTGCAAAATTTATGTTTCTGAACTGCGTCCTAAAATGCACTTGGTTTGCAGTCTATTGTGTGCGAAAATGTGGAGAGGGGAAGCATTCAGATCAGATCATTTCAGAATGCGGGATTCTGGAGAAGTGTGATCCTCAGTTCTCCCCCTTGGAACACTTTCCCTAAAACATGTGGACCTCAATTGAGGGGGTAGGTGTGAGCTTCAAGACTTCCAGGGGAACAGATCTTGGTGAGTGGGGGCCAGGAGAGACCCCAGGTTTCTGTTTAGGGCCCCTTAACAAGGAAGCGGAATGGAAGAGGAGAAAAGGAGTCACAATAAATGCAGAGAAATGCTTTCTTTTGCTAGAACAATCCCCTTTGCAAAACCACAGTGACAAACACCACCGCCGATTCCCCTGTGGTTTAATTTATTGCTTTCCCAGTCATTAAATGCTAAAACAATAATGCAAAATCTACGGTGCGCTTTAAACAAGCTATTTGCATGTGGCTGGCAGGCCCTACCTTCATTTAAACTCGGTGAGCTGAAGGCCCTTCCTTTTTCCCACCACCAACACCTCGTGGTAAATGATGGCTGATTTTACATTTAATACACTGCACTCCTCTAACGTAATTCTATTAAGAAGCTGACTTTGCCCAGCAATTACTGGTCATCCAGCCTAACCACTGGAATTGATGACGGGGAGGCGTGCCCTGGGAACGATGCTGGCCAGAAAGCAAGTCCTTTGGCTGCAGAGAAGCGTGACTTTCTGTGAGCGCTGATGGTTCAAAGGCTGGACTGGGAGCTTCGTGGCGTATTCAGTTCAAGTGCCTGCTTGCTACAAAGCCTGAACCATCATCCTCGATAAATTACTCAGCTTTTCAATCTGCAATTGTGTACAACAGTACAGAGATCACCTTGAAGAAGGAGTGCAAGGCTGGCTACGTAAGCATCAGCTTAGTGCAGGTAGAAAGGCGAGGGTGAGAAAGAAACTCAAGATTGCCCCACCTTGATTTTCTTAGGTATAAGAGGGCAAAGAGGTGTCAGGTTTCTATCGGATACTTAGATGACTTGATCCACACCCCCTGTGCATGGAAGCTTTGAATTGAATTTCCAAATCCTTCGGGATTGAATCCAGCCCCTGAATTTAACCCAGGACTTCTGCAGACCTGCACGAACGATGCTCTTATCAAAGCCAGCAGGCTGAATCGAATTGACGGTTCAAACTGAATTTTGGCTAAGATGCACAGCCTGACAACTGAATTGCTTTCCGCTTCCATCCCGCTAAAAATTGGAATTTGATAGCAATGGCTGGAGGCGGCGCCGAAGACATATGTGAATTTGCGAGTGGTGCTTTCAACGGAACAAAAGGAGCATTATGTAAACTGCTCTCACCAATTTGTATTAATCAGCTTCCATTTTGTAAAGCTCAGCTACCACTTGAGACCCAAAATAGCCTTTCTTCAAGACAGGCTGAGGTTAATGAGTAGAAGAGAATGATGTGGTCATATTCAGAAATAGCAACAATAATAATAATCCTTAGTAATCATCCATAATAATAATTTCCCTTTGCTTAGCTGAGAAATACACAAAACAGTATTTGCTCCCTGCAAAACAGTCGCGCTGCCTCATATTGGATGAGAACACGAAACTAGCAATTTATTGTTCTCCTAAGTTTGGAGGATCATATCCATAAATGGTTCCTCCCTACACACACTTTCTGAAGTTGAGCTGTAGAAGAGGCATTTGCCACAACCTTAGGAATGTGATCATTTATTATGGTGATATCTTCTCCCAGCACATCATAACAATCTCCCAAACGATTAAAACAACTTTATGGCTTTCTCTGTGCCATTGGGGGAGATGGTCCCATAGGAAGTGGGGATAAATGTACTAACCACAATAGGCAAGATTCGGGAGTCATTGGGCATTCATGATCAAACTTTCATTTAAAAAACGTTGACAAGCAACATTGTACAGCAGTTAAATTCAGGTGAGATCAGTGGATTGAATTAGAAAATTATCCGTTAAGTCTCCACCTCACTGATTCAGTAAAAAAGAAAGGTCCTACGAGCCTATGTTCTCTCGGTCCTCACTTAGAACCTGTGAAGAATCCTGCAACATCAAGGAGATTCATCCAGACCACCATCTTCATGATGGTAATGGTCAACTGAATACTTCCCAAAATGGGACAGGCGAATGTTTCTCTTTCTCTCCCAAACAGTTGGAGAAGGATATCAAACAGATGTCTGAAGAATAGAGGTTGTTTCGGCCACGTATTCTGATAAAATTCCTTTCTGAAAACAACACTGCAAGCTTAACATCTCGGTTAAGCAAAGGCCACTGGAGATGTTTCTACTTGTCAGGAGGGCCCTACATAAAAATATGACAATAGTCCTGCTGGATCAGGCCAAGGCCCATCTTAGGCCAGGACTTGCTTTCCCCAATGGTCAAGCAGAAGATCACCTCCTCTTCTCCCATTCTTGCTTTCCTGCAACTATGATTTGGAGGCAGGCTGCCCCTGACTGAAGCTGACACAGAGTCTTCAAGACCATCAGAACTCAAAAAAACCTCTCCTCCATGAATTGAACCCATCCCCTTTGAAAGCCATTCAAGTTTGGGAGCCACCTCAGGTCCTGTGAAAAGGAACTCCAGATGGAAGAAGTGTCTTCTGCTGTCTGTTCTAAATCCTCTAAATCATTAGAGGACCTCTGGGACTAAGGGTTTGGAGGAAAGGAGAAGAACCTTTCCCTATCTACTTTTTCCAAGCCATGTATGAGGTGAGGTTACACTCCTCAATCATGTCCTCCCACTCCCTTGACCTTGTTCCAGGCTAGACGTTCCAAACATTTGAGCCTTCTCTTTGTAGGGAAGATGCTAGAGCATCTTGACAATTTTGGTTGTCCTCTTCTGCCCTTTCTTTTCATATGCAGTGACCATGTCTGTATACAGAATTCCAGATGCAGATGTCCCATAGGTTTGTGGGAGGGGATGACAACATTGGCATTTTTATGTTCAGTCCCTTTCTCAGTGACCCCTAGCGTGGACGTTGCTGTTTTCACAGCTACCCTTTGCTGAGTTGGCATTCTTCTTCATTAAAAGGTCCACTACAACCCCCAGATCTTTTTCCTGCTTAGCTACAGCCAGTCCAGGCTCATCCAGGAGAAGCT